GTATGGAGTGTATGTTGGAAGTTTTCCCCTTCGGTTAGCTTGCCCATGCTATTGCGTCTTGCCCAAGGATGCGTGTGGGATCCCCTCTCATGGGGAATGCTGAAGGTACGTGCACCACCAGGACCAGATAGATGTGTAAGAGTGGTATCTGTCTGAGAGGGAGTAGCAAATTTCCTCCATATTCCTAGTGGTTTCCACTCTTTGGATCCAATCTCTTATGGGCGGCGGGTTTGATTTTTTTCCAGTATATAGGGATCAATTGGTTTGCCGCTGTTATCAAATGTTGGAGTAGTTGAGTTTTTTCTTTGGGAAAGTTTGGTGGTGGGAGAAGGAAGATGAAAGAAGGTTGGGGTCAGTTTTTCCCCCAGTATCGTCTGTATGAGGCTAGAAATGGGCCTCCAGTAGGTTTGTATTTCTGGGCAGGACCACCAGATGTGTGATGCTGTGCCTGAGGGATGATGGCATCTCCAACATTGATCAGAGGATTGGGGGAATATGGCTCTTAGTCTCGCTGGTATATAATACCATCAAACTATTCTTTTATAGTTACTCTCTTGGGTCTCTGTGTTTCTAGATGTTTTGTGAATATTTCTAAAGATTTTGCGCCACCTATCAGGTGGTATGGTGATATTGAGCTCAAATTCCCATGCAGAAGTGAAGGCCTGAGGGTGTTTGGGCTGTATGGAGAGAAGGAGAATGTACATGACAGAGATAAGCTTCTTTTTTAATATGTGCCCCTTGCAATACTTTTCAAAGGGTGTTAGTTCTCGGAGTGCCCTCTGAGCCAAGTGTCCTTTCTTTAAAAATTGTACCATTTGAATGTATGAAAACATTAGCATTGCTGTGATATCAGTCTCCGGTAACAATTTGTGTAAAGGTTTGATTTCATTCCCTTCAATTACTGCCTCCACTGACAAGTATTGTGAGTTATGATATTGCTTATATATTTTCCCATCTACTCCAGGAGGGAACCAGGGGTTGTGAGTGATTGGATACAGAGGTGAGGGATAGGGGGATATGTCCTGATGTGAGCGTATGTGCGCCCATAGTCTGAGCATGGGGGTGATGGTGGGATGCGTGCCATGGTGTAGTAGGAAAGATCCTACCTTGTGCCACGGGATTGTGTAGATCGGGATTCTGAAATAGGCGCCTTGCAGTTTCACCCATTGCTTATCTGAGTGTGGGTTGCACCATTCGTATACTCTAGTGGGCAGAGTTGCTTTGTGGTATAATTCCACATCTGGGAGGCCCAACCCCCCCTCATCTTTTGGTCGTTTAAGAAGTGAAAAGGATAATCGGGGTTTCTTATTGGCCCATATGTAGGTGGTGAAAAACTTGTGGAGGGTATTGAAAAAGTGTTTGGGCAGGTAGATGGGTAGGACTTGCAGTAAATAAAGGATGTGGGGTAGCACATTCATTTTTAGAATGCCTATTCGGCTAAACCATCCGAAATGGGGTATGTTCCAAGACTTAAGGTCTGTAGTTATTGTTTGGATCAGTTTGGGGAAGTTGAGATCGTATATCTGAGAGATGTCATTTGGTATGTGTACCCCTAGGTATTTAAGTGACCCCTTTGCCCAAGTAAATGGATAATCCTGTCGAAGCTGTTCTGCAGTTTGTGAGGGAAGTGTGATTGGGAGGATTTCACATTTGCTTAAGTTTGCCTGAAAGTTAGAAAGTTTACTGTATAATGTCATTTCCCTCATGATATGTGGTAAAGAAATGGAGGGATGTGTGATTGTGAAGAGCATATCATCTGCAAATGCGGCTATCTTGTGGATTGTGTTTCCTACAAATAGCAAAGGCGACAGAGGGCACCCTTGTCTTGTGCCATTGGATATTCGCACTGGGTCTGATAATTGGCCATTGATGTGGATGTGTGCTGTGGGTGTGGAATAAACAGCTTCCAGCCACTTCATCCAATGGGGACCAATGCCCATATGTTGAAGTGTGAGCCTCATCAGGGTTCTTGGCGTCAATCGACAGGAGTAGGCTGGTGTCTCCCTTGCGTGGTGTATGAGGTTTAGGATCTTGGTTGTGTTATGCTTAGCCTCCCTCCCCGAAAGAAATCCGACTGGTCTGGGTGGATCAAATCCTGGAGGATTGGGCGTAAGCGATTGGATAAAATTTTGGTGAATAATTTGAGGTCAATGTTAATTAGGGATATTGGTCTATAACTTCTTTGCCTGGTTTGGGCAAGAGTGTGATGGTGGCATTTAGTGCTTGTGGTGGGAGAGTGGAGCATTGCAATAGGGAGTTAAATGAATTTAGGAAGGGTTGTGCCAGCTGTGTTGAGAATGTTTTATAGTATTTTGCCATAAAGCCATCTGGGCCTGGGCATTTCCCCAATGGTAAATGTTTGATTGTCTCTTGATATTCTTGAATGGAAAGAGGTTGGTCCAGGGAGTGTCTAAGGTTAGCCGGTATGGTGGCCGAAATTCTACTTGCGAGAAACTCTTGGATGTCCTCTAGTGGAGAGGGTGTGGTCCTTAAATTATATAGTGAGGAATAGAAGTCATGGAAGGCCTTGGTTATGTCTAGCATGAGGTGTGAATTTTTGTCCTCTCTTTTTAATAGCGGCTGTTTTTTTAGTGCATGTGTTAAAAGTCCGCATTTGCCTCCCTGTGCGTAGTAAAGGCTCTTTGTGAGTGTCAGTTTACGTTTGGCTTAGGTACTTAGGTGAATGTTGAGTTCTGTTCTTTTTTGGATCAATGTTTTGTATGTATTCAGAGTTAGGTTGGCTTTGTGAGTCTGTTCCAGTCCCCTGATTTCCCTAAGGAGTTGCGTTACGTGTGTGCTCTGTTGCTTTTTATGATTGGAGGCCAGTTGGATGAGTGTACCCCTGATTGTGCATTTGTGTGCCTCCCAGATATTAGGGTACGTGGATTCAGGGTGTTGGTTGTGGGGGAAAAAGTGGTCTAATTCTGCTGAAATACGGTTGAATATTTCAGGGTGATTTAGGAGTGTGTCATTAAGTTTCCATTGGGACCTTGATGTGTATAAGGAAGGGATAGTTATGGTCATGGCAAGTGGAGCATGGTCAGACCAGGTGATCGGGTCACATGAGCAAGAGGATATTAGTTTGAGGAACCTGTGGGGGAGGAAGAACAAGTCAATCCTCGAGTAAGGAGGGTAATAAGAGTAATCCCTTTGAGATGGGTGACATGATCTCCAACAGTCGAAAAGTTGGTGCAAGTCTAATAGGCGTTGGGTATTTGCTCTACAGGACATACGGACTCACTGAACTTAACCTCGGGTAATGTTTCATAGACTCCAGTCTTCATCTGACAGGTCGTATAGCAGCATATGCCAGTCATTTTATGCAAATTTTCCTAATGCAATGCCATGTCTATGTATAATAGCAATGTAATTTTATTTTGTAAGGGCACACGGGGTTGCTATGTTCGTCCTGGGGGGCATACATGGGTGGGAGACAGGGACCCCATCTTCCACGGAACTAAGTTTATCACAATTCAGGGGTAACAGAGAGGGGGCAACAGTAAAGCATAAGCAGGCATTGAAATACTAACGGAATACAATCATGGGGTATAACTCTAAATAACCACCTCTGGAATCAGCGCACACATCAAAATTGAGAAACCTCATTCCTCTGACAGTCAAACCTTTTCAACCATTAGTGCCTGCAACTACCCTCAGACTTTTACACTACAAAACCTACAACTAACACACTTATAATATTGTCAGTTGACAACAACTATATCAACACGCTAATAGGCGCACAAATTCCACCTGTACACTAGCAAACGAAGCAAAGTGCTCCTTCACCCCCCTCCAATAATACCGGCGGTGTCACACACCCTTACATTGACCCTCTGTGGTATCGGGAACACTGCAGAGGCCGACACCAGCCAATACCAGTTCTTTGGGTCACTAAGTACCCTAGAACTGAAATCTTGTATATAGTTTTATTGTTACTTGTTTATACCTGGTACCAAAACAACACTACTTACTACTTAGGCCGCAAGCCGAAACACAAGGGAGAAACGATACAGTCAAGAAGAGTTTTTCACACTTCACACTAGCGCCGGAGAGGTACCCCATTCATACTCTTACCTATCCCCTTCCCAGCAGACATGACGTCACCACCGGCCACCATCACTATCCTCACACACAATGCTAAGGGCCTTAGTATACCCGAGAAACGATACCTTGCCCTGGCAGATTACCACAAACAGAAGGCTGTGGTCGTTTTTGTCCAGGAGACTCATTTCAGAGCAGGTTCAGTTCCCTCATTCAAAAACAATAAATATCTGGGCTACTTTAGCAACTACTCAGGGTCCACATCCAGGGGAGTGGCAATCATACTGAGTTCTCATCTCCCTTTCACATACAAGGAACACGCAGAAGATGAGCAAGGGAAATTCATATTCCTAAAGGGAATAATAGGTAACACCACGACCACCCTAGCAAACATATATCTACCCAATAGGAAACAACTCTCAGTTCTCAACAAGATACTCAAAAAACGGGAGTCTTTCACAGAGGGATCCTAGGGGAGACTTCAATATCTCACTAGATAGCACTCTAGACACTACCTCCCACGCTCACACATACCTCGCATCAACTGGAGTGATTGTTTTTATGTTTTAATTTTAAGTTATCTTTTACACCTCTGTATCTGTACACTATACTAGAGTA